ACAGACTAGCTGGTTATGTCATCTTCGATGAACATACCTGATCACCCACTGTATACTAAAATCACCCACTGTTCAATAAGGAGAGAAAAGGTTGAAGGTCCGAGGGCCGTGCAACAAACAAAAGGTCGGTGGGGAAAGGAATTTCTTTCACACACCAGGGTTGGGCTTGGGTCCACAGATCCTCAAGACCCAACCGAGATAACCCGTCAGACGGGTTGCTAGCCGAGTCGATCCACTCGATCCACGGCCGAATATGGTGTCGTTGGAAAACAAGGTGAGCCAACTGCACGATGGTATGGACATCACATTGTCCACTGGACCCTTTGATCAATGAAGAAACTGCGGCTTCGTTGTCTACGAACCAAAGGAGGTCGCGTCCCTGTAGGAGATCACTGTGGATCCAAGGCACCAAGAGTCCACAAAGTGTCTCTCCCGGGTATATTTGCTGGTGGTGCTCAATCCATGACGAGGTGACCTCCGGAGGAATTAGGCATGTCACTCCAAGAGGCGGGGATGTCATGATGACCCAGCCAACCCGCAAGGTACCCTGCTCAAATGATGCGTCGGAATAAATGACCAGGGGGGAGCTGGTGGCCGAGCTCACGTCAACATCCCTGGGCCTGGCCTGCTGGAGCATGACGCTCAGGAGCTGTAAGGTGGTTACCTCAGCAGCATCCAGATCTGGACCATTGGCGTGTTGCTTTGCGGCCAACACCGGACCCGCAAAACGCCCTGCGTGTCCGGCGCACATGCTAAACAACCAGTTGAGATCGCCACGCAATTTCCCCGCATCATCCGGGCGAAGCTGGGCTGTGGACACTGCCTCGTGGAGCTTGGCTTGCACTTTCATGGTGGTGGAGGTCTTGGGTTGAAACCGAATGACCCCCATCATACCAAAGTCTCCCACGTGGACAGATGTCCCTAAGTAGTGGCGGTTGGGTGCAGGGGCAAAACTCTTTGCGCTCTGCGGGGGTGCGCCGAACAAGCGGAAAACGAGTTGCAGGTTGCGTTGGGATACATCAGAATCTCGAATGCATTCCACTGCCAACTCGTCATCAAAATACGCCGCCGCACACCCCAACAGGCATCGGCGTGTCACAGCTATTCCGAGCTGGGGGGAACCGGTTGAAGTTCACCACCGCACTTTCGAGGCCGTAGGCCAAGCCCCACATACATGTGAAGCGCCAACCTACTCCAGGAACAAAGATTGCCACGTTGGAGAAAGGCAGGTGAGCGTCAGTCACAGGAAGCCCCCGGTAAGCATCGGGAAGGTCGTCCGTACCCAGACGGATGTCGAGCCATTCCGGGGGGGGAACCCAATGGGAATTGCAGGGCGGTGTGCAACATACGGGCAACCGAAGCACAAAAATCGACATTGACCGTGGAGATGGTTTCATGCATTGTGGTATGAACATTGTGGCCACTTTTCCGAGCGTTGTCGATGGCTCGTTTCTTGCCATCAGGTTGGATGATTAAGAACCGTTCAACGAACCTCCAACCGCCCACACCGAAAAGGTCATCCATCTCACGAGCCGTCCGAAGCGGGGAGCAAAACTCTTTTTCAATCTCTTCCTGTGTCAAGTCGAGGATGTCTTGGACATGCTCTGGAGGGCGAGAACGGAGGAGGCGAGCTAGGTCCGCCTCAGCTGCCGCGCCCAGCCACTGTTCCAAGGGCAATTTCCCCTCCTGGACAATAGGGCGGAAAATACCTGAATGAGCAAGTTCTCCCACGATGTTGAAACCCACCACCAATGCACGGGCGAGCTGTTTGTCTGGCCATCGAAGAAGGGCCACCATAGCTGCCATAAACGCTGGTCGCTTCATAGCTGCCACCTTCCGAGCGCTCTGGCATCGAAAGGGGGACAGCGCCACTTCCAGTGGTTGCACAGCTCGTGCCACTGTCAGCAAGATGTGCCGGAGTTTCTCGGCCCACCGCGGGAGAGCTTGCTGCCATGTTGCCACTGCTTGGATGACAAAGGCCACATCGGGCTCCGGCCATGGGCTGGGAGCAAAAGGTGATGGAAGCACTGAGGAAGCTCTGATGTGTGCCTCCTTGCCCAACCCAGGGGGCAGGAGGTGATCAAGGCCCTTTGTAGAGTTGCTGGCGTATCTTTGCCCCGTTAGCCCAGCATAGATGGCGGTTCGCTCGCGGCCCCACACCGGGGTCGGCCCCAACAGAGTCCAGGGCTCTTGTCGAAGGCGGCGCCACATAGGATATGCCTGAAGCGCGGACAGCTCACAGGCCATCAAGCGCTGGGCAGTGGTACCCCAAACCGGGTTTGTCTCCTCCAAGAACGGGAAGGTAGCGCGGAGTTCCTTGCAGACGTCATCATAGGTGAGCAGTCCCGGCATATTTGCTAGGCGCCCAGGCGACCATATGGTATGACTAAGCCGTTCTGCCAAGGAGGTCTCCTCAAATTCCAGGGGTTGTGGGATCAACTTAGCAGCCATGATAGAGGGAAGGCAGCACAGCAAGGCCATGACACTGGGAAGGTGGAAACCGTTGCCCAGCAGGGAGTTCCTGGTCTTGGTTCTTTGATCTTGCGACCCCCGGACTGCGTGGGTGGCCGCCACTGGCACACCCAACAGCTGGGACCGCTCGTCTGGGGATAGCTGTCTCCACTGGTCGCCAGACCACACCAGTGAGTTCTCCTCATAAGCGGCGGGCGGGAACCGGCGATGATCCTCATGGAACCGTGTCGCAGCGGCCGGTGTGGCCTGAGCGACTCGGTCAGCTGGGTGGTAAAACTCCCTTGTGAAGGGATGCATAGCGCCGGCCCCCTGGTTGCGCAAGACTTGCTGTGGGTCGAGGAGTGGGCGAAATTGGTCATCCCACCACACCTGGGTGGGGATCGGTTTCTTGCCATTGTAGAGTAACTCCGGGTGGGCAGCCTCAGTGTCCTCACGCCAAATCCAGGAGGATGGTGGAGTACACGCTGGCGAAAGCCCTGCAGCGCGCGAAGCCACCCAATACAGGCGTCGTCGATGCACCCACCCACAACACGCAGCGTCGATGAGCACTGGGCGGGATCCCAGCCATGTGGAATATTGATCACACACGGTCGATGGCATGCTGGCGACATTCTCCAGGAAGGTGATGACTTCGCACGACTGGGCCTCTGGTAGGGCCAAAATTTCTTCCCGGATGCGCCGCAAGTGGTCCGGCTGCTGAGATCTAGGATCCGCCAAGCCTTTCCGACCCCGGTTCAAACTGGAGTTGCCCTGGCACGGCGAACCACCTCCCAGGATGATTCCTCGCACCTGGCGGCGTTGAAGGAAAGGCCGGAGGTCTGCACCCCGAATGGCCTCCACAGTATCAATGTGAACCAAATTGGGCATGGTGGCCAGGGCGGCGGCACTAGCCTCAGGGTCGCTCTCAGCACTGATTGCATAGATGTGCACGCCCAAAGCCAGCAATGCCAAGCATAGGCCACCCACTCCTGCCCAAAGATCCAGCACCAGCCACGTGCCTCTGACTGGGTGGCCCCATGGGAACTGGGGAAGATCACCCCTGCCGCGCCACGTGATTGGCTTGGCGCCTGCCAAGCGCTGTGCCAACGTGGTGGGGTTGGGCACCGCCGGCGTGCACATAGTGACCCTTCTCACAGGCTCCGAAGGCGAGGCTGGAGGCGTGTCGTGCCTGGACGGGTGCCCAACCCCCCGCAGCACACAGGCTGCTGGGGGGGAGTTGTCCCTATTCCATGGGATGGGCCAGACGGGTATGAGGGCCCTGGCAGGGTTTCCCTGATGGGAGCTTGACATCACACTTGTGGACCTGCGGGCACTTCGTGTTCGAGCATCCACGGCCGTCATTCCAAGGCTTGCGCAACTTGATGCCGCCCTTCAACATCGAGATGGTCTGGTGGGAGTCCTGCTTCACCTGACGCCTCTTGGGCGCAGGAGGCCCAGCCTCACTGCCACCCGGGGCAGCCCGTTTGGGCGGATGGGCTGGCTCATTGGGAACTGCCTGAATTGCACTCGCTCGCCATTCCAGGTGAGTCTCACGGAGGGCCTCCTGGAGCGCTTCCCATGCATTGTAGCCCTGACGGATGTAGCTGGCCATCTTGGTGCGGGTCAACAGGTCGTTGCGCTCCAACCACAAACGAGACCCTTGCCCAAATTCCATAGCACTATAGAGAGCATGGTCTGCATAGTTGTTGGCTGCTGTCAGGGAGATGAAGACAGTCTCCTTGCCATCGTGGCCTCGTTGGCGGTGCAATCCTGCCCATGCCCATGCATAAGCCAGTGTGCGTAGGGACCAGTAGTAGTCCACCACGGTGCGGATGGTGCGTGCTTCTTCGGTCTGAAACTCCAGCTGGACTCCCTCGCCCAACTTGACTGCATCTTGCTGTCTCGGTATAGATTGGTGGAGGACCGACTTGATGCGGGAGGCAGGCACCACCGACATCGTCTTCTTTCTGAATTCCCTGTAAACCCGGGCTCGCAGAGCGTCACTGGGTTCAAGGGTAGCCTCCACAGTGATGGAATACTTCGCTCGGAAGTCCCGGTTGAGTTGCTCCATTGTGGATTCGGGCAACGGGTCGTCGACCCCATCAGACGATTTTGCTGCTTGTGCGGCTTGTTTAATGGCCTCAGCTCCTGCTGCGTAGGCCGCTCGCAGGCGAGCCTGTGCCAGCCGGTTGTCTTTGAGGCTTGTGGGAAGCAGGAGGGTTTGGATGGCACTCTGAACGTCCTTCTCGTCCACGGAGAAGACGAAATCTTCCAAGGTTTCCCACTTATGGGCACGGGTCACAGCCTCGGCCCACTCCGGGAGGACGTTGGAGACCTGGAAGCAGGTGGCCAAGCCACGGTCATCCTGCAACGTGTCGATCGTATGGCCTCTGCTCATGGCGCGGCGTCGATGGTCTACCGGGGGTCTGGGTAGCACAGCTCCACCCGGGCCGCTCAGACGCGCATGCGATGTCGTTGGAGAAAGCTGGATTTGGGCCATGGTTGCGGTGTCAAAGACACGTCACAAACACACAGGCCGTACCCGCAAACGGATGCCGGAAGGACACTCCAGTGGCAAACCTTCAAAAACCGGGGGGTTGCCCATCAAGAAAACCGCTACCAGCCCCCACTCCCTTCCTAATCAGTCGTGTGCAAGCGGGCGGCAGGCCCCCTCCCCGACCCCGTCCGGACACAAACGGAAACAGGAAGGGCGGCCGGCCACGGACGGACCCCTCCCCGGGGAAAAGGGGGGAGTGCACAAACCCAAACAGGCGGAAGCCCATTCACACCCGAACGAACGACGGACCGGAGGCAGGGCGCAGGCATCCTTTTCCCTGATATGCGAGGCGGTGGTGTGTCAATTCAACCACCCGCAGCTTCGTGCCAGTGCCCGGTACAAGCCTCGGGGCATACGTGCCAAGCATCGTTGGCAAAAACGCTGGCGCGAGACAACGGAGGCTTCTCCGGTAGATCGAGGATCTTGCGAGAAAGGTGCGTCCCGGCACCAAGGCAGGAGACGGCCCTCTGTCTCGCCTCGGATGAGGTGGACTTTGGTGCCCTGCACCAGCCAATGCGTGGTCTCAGCCACGTCATCAGTGGAGATGGCTCCCTCTAGGTCCGTGGCCTCATTGGAGACGTCCGACGCTGAATCAGAGGACGCGGATGATGTAGCCGAATCCGATTGGTTGTCCAGGGCTTCCGGTTCAGGCTCGGTCCCATGTGGCGAAGAGGGCTCCTGCACAGTGGGGCCAGGTCGGACATCAGCCGAGCCACGAGCGGCCGAGTCATCGACTGGCAGCGGTGGGGCGGGCTCAGCCTCAGGCGGGGCCGGGAGCTCAGTCCCCATGTCACCCAGCTGCTCATTCTGGGCCGCCAGTTCAGCCCACGTCCAACTGTCTCGTGGATGGAGGCCCTCATCGGTCAACGCGAGCTCCGCCTTCTTGGCATGGTACAGGCGCATGAACCGCTTCAACAAGGCCTTCTTCACCAGGGCGGAGTGGAGGGCCCGCTGGCCGCTGTAGTGGATGCCCATCGTCCAAGTGGCGCGAGACTTCTGATTGGGGATCGGGCCCCCACCAGTGGGGATCTCAACCCAGTTGCCCACTGCCTGCTGGTTTTGAGGGGACAGGCGAACCACGTTCCCCAAGGTCGGGAGGAACCGTCTCAGACGATTGAACCCCGCCGTCTGTGCCTGGTCAGGAGCAGTGCCGAGATCCAGCAGCGCCCCGCGGAGGAGCTCCAGGAAGCGTCCGCGTGACAGCTTGCGGTCAAGGCGGCAAGGGGTGTGTTCAGTCACCTGCCACAAATCCAGCGGGTCCAGCTGCAAGGCCGGCCAAAGGTAGTTGCGCTCCGGCAAAAGCTCCAGGGTGACGAAGTCTTGTACAATCTTCACCAAGCTGAATCCAGGGAAAGGGATGTCTGGCATCGCCCACTGGAAAGCAGGCCGGGCTCCCTGGCGCCGTGCCTTGCCCTGGGAGCAGGTGAAGAACAGCGCATTGCCCTCGCTCCGGTCAAACTTGGAGCGTTGCACGTGCTCAAAACGAATGCACGACACTGCAGCCCACAGCATGAAGGCCAGCACCAGGGAGTTGGTACCTGAGCTTTGACGAAGTTTCAAAAGCATGTTCACGAACTCCCATGGCTGCAATTCCAACTTTTGCTGTGAGGTGTGCCCGACTGGAAGGAGCTTGAACCCGCGGACCAGCCAGTGATCCAGAGGGAACTGCACCCCAAACTGGGCCCGGAACCAGTTGAGGGCGTGAAATACGGCCGAGCCAGCTGTAGGTCCTCCACGAGCCACCTCTTTGAGGAAGGTGTTCAACTGAAGCGCGGTGGGTTGAGCCAGCTCAAACCCCAACCGCAGGGCAAACTCCCTCCACCGTCGCAGCGTGCTCAGGAGTGCTCCCAGGCGGTTCACTGAGAGCCTGTCGGCTGCTGGCATGATGGACTCCTTCAATAGTTGCATCCTCGTAGCGTCTTGGAGCTGGGCCCTGGACACCCCCAATTCGTGAAGGTCGAGGAAGTCCTGCACCAACAACTCGAACAGGGCCTGCACCTTGGCCACTTTGGCTGCTTGTTCCTTGACATGCGGGTCAGCGGCGGCCAAACTCATCATGAGGGGGGGTTCACGGACCTCCCCCGTTGCCAGCAATCGCCGCACCGGGCGAGCTACTGCAGTTGAGGCTTCCGTCGGACGAGCAGGAGCGGAAGTCGCCACAGCTGACTGGCGATGGATGCAGATCTCACGGAGGTGGTGCTTGTATGTGGCTTGTGCTCGTTGGGACGCAAGGGTCCAAAACGAGACGATGGTGAAGCCCTCTTCAGCCGCCAAACCACCATGCCTGCGCTCCAATTCATCGAGCAAATCACCTCCTGTGGGCCATAGGTGATGGACGTCCTCACAGGTCTGGACGCCCAGGTCCACGAGGTGATTCAGGAGGACAATGGGCCGATCGACCAGGAGTTCCTGGAGTTGTCCCTCCATGGGCTGATCCGGCCTCATGGCTGCGCAGCTGGGCGATGATGTACTCCCGGATGCGGTCGGTGGGCATGTTGAGGGCGCTGCCAAGCTCGCTGAGGCTGATTGATTCATCGGCCTCTCGGAAGAACGGGGCATCCGTTTGGGTTCCAAACCCATGGATGTGGACCTGGTTCTCTTGGTCCTCTCCATTCTCCTCCACGTAGCGCTGGTGCCCCTGCTGCCACGTCACCGCCCGGGCCTCACACCGGTCGCAGACACGGCGCTCGCCGTCGCAGGCGTGGCAGATGGCGCTGAACTCGTCGCCGGGCTGACAGCGGGCGTAGCACCCTTCACACCAGGACGTAGTCCACTGGGCGCAAGCGCGGCACCAATCCGCTTGTAGGTCCGGCGGCCTATACACCGAGTTCCACTGAGCCTCGATGTAGGCGCCGCGGGCCGCCAGAGAGGCCAGTCGCTCCGCCCTGGGCAGCTGACTGGCCTCCCTCCCCCGATTCCCTCTTCGCCAACGCCGAGCAACCACGCGCCAAGCCGACAGGTCGGTGCTGTGGATTGCAGGCATGGCACGAAGAAAATTCGAGGGAATCCCCAATCTTGAGCCAAAATGGCGTATAAGATTGAGGATCCCTCACTATATGTTTCACATCTCAATATGTCCCTACCCAACCAACCATTCATATTGATTGATAAAAGATCCCTAGGGCTCCAACTACCTCCGCTTAGTGGGGTGGTTGGGGTGGATTAGGAGGGTCTAACTATCTTCTGAGGAGGTGGGCCAGGAGCCCTAGGGGATATGCTAAGAATCCAACAAAAACCGGAGACATGGAGTCACAAACCGCTGATCCGACCACGCTTCGATCCGGCCACAATGCCTCGATCGAAACGTCAGTTAGTCAGTTCTTGAAACATCAGGTCGTCCATAGAGGTGGGTGTTCACCCAATGACCTTTCTTCCTCATTGTTGCTGGTTCAAGTATTCCATTGTTTCATGCTCCACCCCCAAAAGACTCTTTCCATACACTTTCCATAGTTTGTGAAACATCTACAGCACATATCACTAAGCAACTCTGGTCTCTGGTCTTCGTGAAATGTCTATCGAGGCACACTGAAAGGGCTGCAAGATTGTTCTTTGAGGAAGAGCAAGAGGAAGGAACCACTTAAAGACCCATAGCATAGATATCTCCAATTCAGAATCCATGCTACCTACGCTGATACCAGCGCCACACGCACCATGCATCATGTTTAGCATCATGATAATAATAAGCAAACATGTCTAGCTACGCCCTTCTTATTAGGGGGGGTTGAGTTGCTAAACTTGCCAAACAACATGAGTGATCAAGGAACACAAGCATCATCAGTCATCATCAGTGTTTTTATTGTCATCACATTGTTCATCGATGTTGGTTGCTGAACTATCACAATTAATCATTGTCTTAGTGAGAAAGAAACCATTACACACCACGAGACATAGCTCTGAGACAGGCACTTTGTTGGCATGAGCCCAACTCACAAAGAAGGGCTTGGTCGCATCCAAAATGATAAAGCTGATCACCTGGGCGTGTCCAATGAGCGACAGGTGATGAACAGTTGCGAAACACACAGGAAAAGCCTAAAAAATATTGACAAGAACGTCAGTAGGTAGATCTGCACATATAACTCGATTATTGCTAGTGGCCAATGACTTAGCTTATACCCATAAATCTTGATCAAACATGAAGAAGTCTTGGCGGTTTTGGGTGACCCGACCAGCACACCCATGTAGTGGAATCCATCACCTGCGAGGGCGACGCGAATCATCGTTACGTGGAGTGAGTTCATGACCTGTTTCGTAGTTGATTTACATGATGATTCCACAGATTTCCAAAGAGTGTATATAAGACTTAAGTATGCCTCAACATTGAAGATCAAAGCCCATCCAATCAAGGTGCCTTCATTGTCTGCGCTGTTCCTGGTTTTGAGTTAGCCAGTCTGCTCCATTGAAGGCACCTCCAACTATAGAGAATATGTTTATTCTTCACGAATCAAGCCCCTGTGTGACTTGTCGTGACTGACCCCACAGAGTCACAGAGTTGGGAGCGCTGCGAGATATCCTCTGAGGAATCAAACAAACATGTAGCTCGCGAGTTCTCTCTCGCTCAGGAAGCCGAAATTGGGCGGCCGCGTCACATCGAGCGGGGCATCCGTTTCCAAATGCTCGGACATGAAGACACATGCTAAGAGCGATGGCCTCCACCCTAAGAGCGATGGAATGGCCTCCAACCTAAGAGCGATGGCTTCCACCCTAAAAGCGATGGCCTCCACCCGAAGAGCGATGGCCTCCAACCTAATAGCGATGGACTGGCCTCCAACCTAAGAGGGATGGCCTCGACCCTAAGAGTGATGGCCTCCACCCTGAGAGCGATGGCCTCCAAACCAATAGCAATAGCCTCCAACCTCCAACCTAATAGCGACGCATGCTTCCTAGCATGCTGCATGATCGTGATGAAGATATCTCGACGATCTCTGCTCGGGGCTTTGACCAAGTTGTGAGACACACATTGCACACACGATTGATTCCTTGGAGCGATGGTTTCCATATGTTTCCATCAGCAACCAGGTAGCTTCACCTTCTCTGATAAATAGGTCTAACCCTCTGAGCTATGCGTTTGTCCAAACCAACAGAAACATGTGTTTTGTTAGTTCACATCTCCAGAAAAAGAGCACTTCATGAACTTCATGGCACTTTCCAAAATCACCCCGTGTCCAAACCACACAGCCATCCAATACACAGCTCCACTTCACAGCTCCACACGCCTTCCAAGGAGGCCTCCAAGGCAGCTTTCATCGCGGTCACCTGCTCCATGGATTGAACCTGCTTCTTCTTCGGAGCTTCGGAGCTTCGAAACGCACCGCTTTCCAGCTCCGGCACGCATTCGGCGCGCATTCGGCGCTCGGCGCTCGCATTGAACGTGTGTTTGACCCCCTCCCCCCCCCAGAGCGAGCGGAGATCGGACGGCAGGTGAGAGCAGCTTAAGCCATCATTGTCCTTCTCGGGTCCTATAAGGGTAGGTTGAACCCGCAATGAACTTCTGACCTTTTGCTTTTCTGCGCGCTCTTCCTTAAACACACATCTTCTTCGATGTTATGTGTTGAAAAGCCCCTGGTATGCATAATACTTGAGCCGAATCGGGGTTTTGACGCCCCCTCCGGAGCCCATGGACCTCCGTCCTGAGGGCTCGAAGTTGGGGTTTGTCGGGGTCAAGTTCGCCAAAAATCTTGCGTCAAGGCGTCCAAATTCCGGGGCCTGAGGGGTCAAAGTTGGGGCTTGGAGGGGTCAAGTTCGCAAAAAATCTTGCGTCAAGACGTCCAAATTCCGGGTTCTGAGGTGGTACATGCAAGGCTGGTTCGGCCCTGTGTGTCATCCATTGCAAGAAGAAGACCGCAAGGGGCCAGGGGTGTGGAGGGTTAACCACTTGCCACTTGCCATTTACCATTGCCACTGACCACCGTTACCAGACCGATCGCCTATCTGATCTCTTCCGACCCCTTCCCACCGCCCTCTACCGACCTCTACCGACCCGTTCCCACCGACCTCTACCGACCTCTACCGACCTCTACCAACTACCGACCCCTTCCCGCCGACCTCTACCGACCTCTACCGACCCCTTCCCACCGACCTCTACCGACCTCTACCGACCCCTTCCCACCGACCTCTACCGACCTCTACCGACCCCTTCCCACCGACCTCTACCGACCTCTACCGACCCCTTCCCACCGACCTCTACCGACCTCTACCGACCCCTTCCCACCGACCTCTACCGACCTCTACCGACCCCTTCCCACCGACCTCT